TCTAAAGTTCCCAGTTATATTCCCATTAGCTATTGTTTCATTCAAGTTATCTACGAGTATAACATAAACGTCGGTTAATTGTTACTGCGTTTCTGAATACGCATAGAATTGTTCTCTACAAATATGAAACTGATAACAAGCTCCATAATTTGCCGCTAGATGGGTCTTTTCAAGATATCGAGTCTAAAATTGCTTTTATTATTTCAAATCTTCATTAATATTAGTTTTATTTATAATAAAATATTATTCGAGTCTAAATATGTGAGGGCCTTTTTACTGGAAATGAGGCATTTCATCTTAGTCCTCACGGGTGACAACGCATCTACATTTTGATTTGTAATAGAGGATAGATGTAGATGTCTATGGGCCGCAGCAACCACTTACCATCAGGTGGACTGTGTGCTCGTTTATCATCCTTATCCTATAAAAAAAACTGTTTTAATAATAATTATGAAAATTCCATATCAGCGACTGTATGAACGACATTATTGTCAAATAAAAAAAAGAACAGGTCACTAATTTTTTTGTTACGCAATATCGCATGTGTTATATTTAATAATTAAATTAAAAATAATAGAGTACGTGAGGGTAATATGGTCACTTTCTTATATCTCAAAAACTACAGCCTGATTTGCATAGATGGCTTTGTATTACGATAGCTCTTCATCAGTCATTCAAATAATAAAGGGTCAAAAGGCCGCCGCTTTATCGACGCCATTTTGACAGTTGATATTATAGTAAGTACGTGAGAGTAATAAGGTCACCTTAAGCTTTATCGCCCTATAAAACCAAAATCAGGAGGAGAACATAGACAAAAACACAAAGTCGTATAATATAACTAATATATTAAGAAAAAAACTAAACAAGCTTTGGAAATAATTAGGAACACTTCGAAAAATCAACTTATAAAATACTAACTACACTACACAATACAAAAATCGACTAAAATATTTACAATAATATCAACTATCAAAATGGCGTCGATAAAGCAGCACCTTTTTGACCCTTTATTATTTGATAGACTGATCAAGAGCTATCGTATCACAAAGTCTTCTATGCAAATTAGGCTGTAGTTTTTGAGTTATAAGAAAGTGACCATTTTAACCGGATGATCATATTACCCTCACGTATTATAGTTAATTTTTTTTAAGTTGATTTTTCGAAGTGTTGCTAATTATCGCCAAGGCTTGTTTGTTATTTTTTTCTATATTAGTTATAGTATACGACATTGTGTATTTGTCTCTGTCCTCCTCCTAGTTTTGATTTTATAAGGCGGCAAAGCTTAAGGTGACCATATTACCCTCACGTACCATAGTAACAAAAGTAAACTCCATTCTAGACTGTGATGAACTAGGTACTCGTATTCATTACATTTACATAATTTGCTTATATACTTTAGATACATATTTTATCCCCTGAATATTTTAATAAGCGTTGACTAGCTATTTATTTTAATAACATCACGTTATATAAGTACTAAAAATTGATGGAATTTTCTTGAAATAAAACGTCAAATAAAGTTATGGAACCGATAAACGGCAAACATTTGCCAGTTTAGTTATAAGTTTAAACAGAGTTTATTTTACATTGGGATGTTCGGAAACGCACTTTCTTAAGTTATCGAACCAATAGCGCTAACGAATAGATAAACTGCCGATAAAAGTACCCATAAACCGAGCATAAGAGAAGAATTCTCAATACCAGTAAAATTGGGTCTCAGGTTCTCTTCAATCACCATACGAAACGCTGCAACATAATTATTTCACGCTGATATGTTATACAAGCGTGGTTCTTTCTGTAAACGTGTATACTTCCTCCTTGCTGTAGTGGTCGTAACCGTGGTTGCCAATCATGAGGACCCGGGTTCAGGAATGCCGGGTCGGGCCGAAATCAGTTATTGAATTTTTCTGAAAACAAGTTCTCAGTACGGAATATAATATTATGTAGTAATTATATGATTATAATTACTAAACGAGTACATATACAAGGTTATTATTCAAAGAGTAACCAAATTTTAAACCTTAGTTCAAATATATAAATAATGATATGGAGATATTGCAGTATTTGAAAATACAAGCAAACTACGAATGTGTGCGTGCGCAGTTAATTCAGTTAAAATAATGCATTACCACTCGTTTTGAATTTAAAAGATTTAAAAAGGACAGAATGTTTAAGAGTTGTTTTAATTAACTTTTCTTCACCATTTGCCTATATTACTTATTCTGAACCTTCGCTGCAAATTTGGCTGGTTATTGCCAAAATAACACTGTATAATTTTCGGAAATATTTTTCCCAAGTTAGAGAAACAATTCATCATTATCATCATAGCTCATATTATACTTTCTAATTTTATACCTATTATCAAGATAATTGCGAAAATACGCGGCATTTCTAGCTGTAGCGACTCGGTAGTGCTAGCAATAAATTGGGACAAATTCGTGAAAACAGCCCCTAACGTACCCATGAAATTTGACGATCGTAAATCAAAAGGACAAAACTAGATCCGGGCCATTTGAACGCTGTCTGTCTTTTATGGATAAGCGATGTCGTAAAAACCTGTTTTAGGCGAAATTGCTTTTACAGCATCGAAATACGTGCGATTACAACCTTCTCTATTACGATCCAAGTTATTTTATTGTGGTTTTAGTGTATTTACTTCTAATGATTTCTTAGATTTACGCGAAAACTACACATTAAATTAAACTAATGTTACGTATTTTCTGCCGACTTCAAAAAGGAGCCAGTACTCAATTCGACTGTATGTTTTTTTATGCGTGTTATATAACTTTTTACTGGGTGAAACGACTTCGATGATTCTTTTTTTTAATTGACAGCTGGTGCTACACATGTGGTCCCATATAAAATTGATCAAGGTCTGACCAATAGTTTTCGAGTTATTCTTAATAATTTATATTGAAGTCGATTGTACAAAATTTTTAATTTTTAATTATATCGTGTTTAATTTTACTTATTAGTTTCATTTAATGTCTTTACTTGTATTATAAAATTAGTATGTATAACGGTTGTTTTTTTTTTAACGTAGTATGGATGCCGAACGAGTTCACCTGACGGTAAGTGCATGCTGCGGCTGTGGACACCTGCGATCAAGTTCTAATAAATAATGACACAGATGTGTTGCTAACCTATAAAATGACTCACAGTTATACTGGTTTGCTTACAGTTGAATCCGTTTTCACTTTTTGATTGGTTTCTTTATAATTTAAAATTAAGAATTTTGTACGACCGACTTCAATATAAATTATTAAGGATAACTCAAAAACTACTGGTCAGAGCTTGATCAAATTTATATGGGACTACATGAGAAGCATCAGCTTTCAAATAAAACGAAGAATCATCAAAATCGGTTGACCTAGAAAAAAGTTATGAGGTAACACATATAAAAAAAACATACAATTGAATTGAGTACCTCCTCCTTTTTGAAGTCGGTTAAATTGTATTAGTATTGAGGTATACGCTATCAAAGTATTATAATGTACTACGTACTAAAAGCGAAGCCGAGACTTATTACTTTGCAACACGCGTAGGAGCTCGCGAGCTAAAACTTACTTAATCCATGCCATAGAATGCAGGATATTACTCCTTTCATCCAAGACATCTACATTATATATATATATATATATATATATATACATATACATATCATACAGATATCGCTATGATTTTTTTTAATAATGTTTTGACGTGTGTGATGATAACAAATTACTTTTAGATGCTCGTTTATTTCTTCCCCGCGGAATGAAATATGACTTCGAAGTTTGACATAAAGCGAATGTCATTACATTTTCTTTATTGGGATTTTGGAGCTGTTATTGTGTCATTTAGTTTGCATTAGGCTCCAGTGACGAGAATATCATCTGTAGTCTTACTATTAATCTTTTTCATCATGTGACGAGGAATTTTATACAAAGTGCACAATTTGTAAATTATACTATAAGTGAATACCAGCGGGCAATAGCAGCTTAACGTTTCTGTGTTTCGTATGGTGAGTGTGCAGAACCAGAGACCCTGTTTACTGAAAATGAGGCATTCCATCTTACTCCTCACGGGTGACAACGCATCTGCATTTTGATTTGTAATCGAGGATAGATGTAGATGTCTATGTGCCGCAGCAACCACTTACCATCAGGTGGACTGTGTGCTCGTTTCTAACCTATATAAAAAAAAGTACTAAATGGTGAAGCTGACTTCGAGTTCGTATGGGTATGAATTACATCATTTTATATAATATACCACTTTCATTCTACCCGATTGCAAGTGGGTTCTGTGGCCCATAAACATACTCTTTACCTGGAAATAGGGAGTCTGGTCGTCATCACTCACCATGGGAAATACAGCTGCATTATACGGTTTTCTTACGGTATATTCTGTGAAAGCGTGTTACATACACGAATGAAGATGCGATGTCAAAGAACATATTCGAAACTATATATTTGTATTAAAATCATCACTTTTTTCAACCTGTGAAATTATACCAAGCTGTCAACTGCGTAGAAAATATTATAGTGACAAAAGTACATGAGCAAACATAAAAACACTTCACTGTCCTACACTATCCATTTCCAATCTAGCGCTTTAATTATAAGTTCGGTTCTTAAATAGAATGCAGTATAAGTGACAAGGGGACAGCCACAACCCAACCATAGTCGAAAACAATGATTTGTGCTTTTGCGCAAATGTTTGCTCTTTCAGGGTTTCAAATCTATACGTAATAGGAAAGCCCTGCACCGTAAGAAAGTGGCTACGTGGACAGTGAATGAAAAACTCAATGCAGGACTTACTATTTGAAGGCTTTAAACTATTTTCTTAGTGTACGTGATTTCTAAACCAATATTATTTAAAGATGTGGAGTCAGATTCTCCGACATGTCAACCTATTTTGGGCTTACTTACTTTAAAAATAAAGATTAATTTTATGAAAAAGACTCTTACTAAATTTCCCATGGATGTGATGAATTGATGTCTGATTTTTTTTCTTTGCAGAAACAAGCCATGCTGGTGAGGCAGTTGGAAGAAGAACTGAGATTACGAATGCGACAACCTGCTCCTGAACTGCAGCAACAACTCGAAGCACTATACGCAGAAAATGAACACCTACAACGAGAAATAGCGATACTGAGGGACACCATTAAAGTAAGTAAAACAAAAGAAGATCGAATACCTTTTGAAAGCTTATTTAAACCTCGTATGACCGTTAAAATCTACTAATATTTTCAAAAATAGAACCAGCACCGATGTGAACCGGTAAGAACATGTAGGTTCATTGTTTTATGTTTTTTTTATTAAAAGAAAATGATTTATTACAATAGCCGATTATAAACGCAGAAATAACTTCAACCGAACTTTAGGGGCATGATTATCAAGTCAGCAGTATAAACGTGATATGATAAAATAATAGATATGTAGATCATACAACAGAATAACGCCAATTCTGTAAGAAAATACAACAGGAGATCTCAATTCTGATCTCGAAATAGGATAGCGTTAATTGTTAAAAAATAGTAAGTGTGAGAGCGGATGTTCAACTTGCTCTCTTGCTTACGCAATTGATCATTATCAGTATAGAGCAATTACACAGTTCGACCACATCGTAACACTTCCCCACAATCACATGCCAATGTAACGTGAGCGACGTAATTACATGATAACACCAAAGTATGCAAACTAATAGCATCACTACTGATCTCAATGTAATACAGGCTAGTCTCTCAGCAACACGCTCTTCCAGACTGCACGAGAAGAACCATCACTCCAAACAGGACCACGATACCTTAGAACTCATAAAATGACTTCAATCGTAGAATTACTTAAGCGAAATCCCTTACGCTCGGCACCTCCATCGAACTTTATACTGCACAAACGAGTCGGGGTTTCTCTATCTACCATCAATTCTATACCGCCACCATCGATATGACGCTGCGCTAGAGTTACGTAATCTTTCGCTCACTCTTGATCCATTCGATATTTTATACACATCGACAAATACATATCCAAAACTAAAACACCTTGTGGTAGTACGAGAATAACTATATTAAAAGGCCGGCAGAGCATTAGCAATTCCTCTGGTGGCAGTTGTTCATGGGTGGCGGTAGTGAGTCGCATGCTCGTTTGCATAAAGTCGAGGAAAAAGTTTCTTCGCATTTTATATACAAATTTAGGACATTTTTTTTTTTCAAAGTTTAGTTACATTTAATTATCATATATATGTGCCATTTTGTTTGATAACTTGTTGCAATCTTGTTGGTAGTGACATAATCTCTCTTGATGTTAACTTAACACTACCGAAAGAATTCTGAAGAGCCCGAAACTTTTTTTTACTGAATGGCCAAAGATGTGTGTGGTCTCGCGTTATCATCATGAAATACCACTCCTTTTCTGTTGATCGATTCTGGCCGTGTTTTCTCAACGTGTTTCTTCGCGGTGGTAAAAACTCATAATAATCAATGCCCTTCAAATCCCATCATACACACAGCATCACCTTACTGCGTGTTAATCGGAGTTTCGCTAAAATTTGTGGAGCTTAGTTACCTTTTCACCATGATCTTTTTCACACGTTCTTGTCTTGTGTGATCCACTTTTCATCACCTGTGATCAATCTTTGCAAAAATAGTTCGGTTGCATTACGCTTCAATAGAGAATCGCAAATGAGTACACGATTGATTAGGTTTCTTTCAGTGAGCTCGCGTGGTACTCAAATATCGAGCTTTTTTGAACAGCCAGACTTTTTCAAATGGTCAAAACTATTTTCTGGTCAATCTTCAATTTCTCGGCTATGTCGTAACTGCTGGTATGCCGATCTTACTCCACTTTTTCAAAAAATGGCATCGACTTTATCCGTATGAGGTTGACCAGAGCGAGCTGCATATATGACATCAAAATTCCTAGACTGAAAACGCTTGAACCATCTTTGTGCTATTCTTACTGACACTACATTAGGTCCATAAATGTTACTAATTTCTTTTCGCGGCTTTAGTCGCATTCTTACCTTTTTTGTAATAAAACTTCAGAATGTATCGAATATACATATATATTACTCGTACTTATATCACTCGTATTTCTTCGTTAGATACACTCATTTTGGCGGACTGAAAAGCAATTAAAAAATGGCGGGAAAGTGTTTTCTACTTTTTCTTTTTCTTAATGTGTTACATGTATTGATATTAAAACCAGCCAGATACAAACAGTACGACCAAAGATATTTTTCTTCAATTTTATACAAACAAAATACGAAGAAACTTTTCCCCCGACCGATTATAAAAGAAAACTATCACCTCATTAGAGGTGACTTAGGGAAAGGCCCTCCTGCGACTTGCGAATCGAATGTCTTATCAAAAACAAGATCAACAGATTGACGACAGGAACCAGCATCAAAGACTAGACGCGAAGGGGAAGGTAATCTAAAGGAAGAGTCTTTATATTTAAAAGTGTATAGCCATCTTCGATTATAACCTTTATATATGAAAGAAATCGCTGATTGATGATAACTTGGCTCGCAACGGAAACTTTAAAACTTCTATGTATAATGTAATTACGCTACACCGACATAGTATCGTCTTTATAATACTAACGTGGTATGTGCCATCCCAGGCATGCTGCCTGCTATTTAAAGTTATCTGTTTTGATTTTTAATGAATTAAAGTAAAGAGCTATAAATCTTTGTAGATGTTTGTAGCTTCCAATCCGTTTTTTACTTTTCTTAAATCTTAGATCTTTTGTTAAATTTATCAACTAAATAACGTGTAAACAAAGTATCTTCATAGTCATTAACGTCACTCAAATTAATTATAATTCTGATAAACTGTGTTTAAAATTTACTTTATTTCTGCATACAATGATGATTTTATGGATGTAGAAAGAATACTATAAGTATGTTCATTTGTTTTACTATAGGAACTGGAGCTTCGTATTGAAACCCAGAAACAAACATTGCAAGCCAGAGATGAAAGCATCAAAAAATTACTCGAGATGTTGCAGAATAAGGGAATGGGTATGTTTAAAGTCCTAATAAAATTAATTAGAATGGAAATGAAGTTGATGTTTAATTAGATCCATTGTAAGACTTTGTACATTTTGGAATAATTTCAGGTAAAGAAGAAGAGAGACAAATGTTCCAACAAATGCAAGCAATGGCACAGAAACAGGTAATTATCAGTTTGTCGTTAGATGTCTAGTGTTGCATGTTGTGTTAAGTAAAGTAGCCTCTCCACTTTAATTTATAAAATGTCAACAGTCAGGAGAGTTTGCTGCAACTAGTTATGTTCCTACACTTTTAATAATCTAGTCGTAAATGCACGTCACTCAGCTTTCTCATATTTATGTACAAATAGTTACGAATCACATGGGCGTTTTATTTTGTGATACCTTTATCAGAATCACTGTTTCTGTTAGAGTTGCTCTTGATAGTTTCATTTTCATTCATTTGTTAACATTCAGCCGAATGTGATCGTCGCGTCGCCTTTTTTTGTTTTAAATCAAACGTTTTCTCCTTTGGCTTCATTAAATTCTGAACAACTCTCGCTTACTCTTCACACCTGCGGATATTGTCACCTTTCTGTGACATTTGAGCTTTCTCCCCGAGCACTAGTTACCCACTTTTTTCTATCTCCTTCACCATTCACATAACGATGATACAAACTTAAAAATTCTATCCGAAGCGTATCTTTCTCAACCTCATCACGACTTTTATACCTTTCAAAACCGACACGTACACGATCACGTCATTGCATGTTTAGCGTACTCATCAAGTCCCCGTCACGAGCCTTAGCAGAGACCGTCTCGTACTGCCATCGGGCGTACAAACAATCATTGTTTAGTAAAATTTGTATCGCCTACGCCTGGGGCTGCGTCGGATCGGGGACGGTGTCACTCGCGAGCCGGGAGCAGCCCCAGCGGGCAGGACGCGAGGCGGCGGCGGCTGACCGAGTCCGTCCTGCAGGAGCTCAAGGCGACGGCGGACACGCTGCGGGCGCTGCAGATTCAGCTGGAGCGCGCGCTGACCGCGGCCGGGCTGCCCGGCGGCAGCGCGGGCGCCACGCTCACCGCCGTGCTCGAGACCAAGGAAGCGCGCATCGCGACACTGGAGCGCCAGGTGGCTCTGCTCGAGAGCGAGCTGGCTGCGCTCGTGTCGCCGCCGCCGCCCTCGCTCGCGCCTTCCCACGCCTCGCTTTACGATAAGGCCGACCCTCCCTTCAAGAGACAAGTAAGTTTTCTGCTGAACGACGTGCGCGTGACCAAGGACGGGCGCATGACCGCGCCGCCGCCGCGCACGCCGCGCCCCGCCCTGCGCGCCGCCCACCACTCGCCCTACTATAGCGCCACCACTCTGTGACCGACGCCCGTTTTACCGTGTCAATTTCTCGCTTTAAGTCCGAAGTTAAACGCCGACTGTGTTGATTCGAAATATTTTTGTGTGAAAATTGTTCATTGTTATAGCTATTTTTTATTAAATATAAGAGAAAGTTTATATTCTTGAATGACTTGTGGTACAATTATATTTTTGTTAATTAGGGCTTTAGGCAGACCGTTATTATAAATATAGATTGTATATTGTAACGTTAGACGAAACATGTGAGATTAATTACGTTGACACCAAACGTTCTTAGAGTTAGACCGTTTCGAATAAAGACTGCTGAGGTCGAATGCATCGAATGAATCTTTCGAGTGCGTTTTTATTGATCCTTGATTTATTTACGATCCGCTTTCGGTGTTTCAATCATCGTTCAGTATAGCTTTGGTCCCGCGTCACCCGTCATCAATAGATTAGTACACCTGACCCGGCCTCTCATGTAGTGGTCATGTTTCATCAGTCTCTCTCACATTAACGGTAGATAAATGTATCACAACGTAGGCGCCCGTGCATACAAATATGTGTCGATTTCCTCGTACTTTATATATGTGTCTGGAAAACTTTCTACCGCCGCTCATATAAATTTCACATCATCGTATTTATGATTAGTTAGCTTAGAAAGTTTTCCACCATGATTATTCTATGAAGACCTTATTGATATTTATTGTTGCGTGAAGGATGAAGTGCATGTCGTTTGAAAATTTAATGAGACAATGTCAGAATGTCTTCCACGGCACGTGATTATTGTGAAATATTTTAGTTAGGTGCTGAAAGCGCCTCTATAAAAGTATAGTTATAAAGCTTGTGCCGCTTATCATACATCGATTTAACATCACTGACTCGACATTTATCTATGGAAATGATATCAGTATTGAGTAGATTAATACTTCTAACATCAGTATCATTTTCGCCATCACTATTGCCTAAGTAGATAGTTTTATATTCTTTCTCATATCCGCTATCCTACTAACACTAATCAAATGTTTGGGCTTATTTAATTCTATACCGACTTTCGGGTGGAATGATGAGCAGTTGGATGAGTTCCGGTTGGAGATCCAGAGAAGAGACCAGGAGATTTTGGCGATGGCCGCGAAGATGAAGGCACTCGAGGAGCAGCATCAAGATTACCAACGTCACATCGCCGTTTTGAAGGAATCCCTCTGCGCTAAGGAAGAGCATTACAGCATGCTACAAACAGATGTAAGTTATAATTTAATAATATAGGTATATTATTATAATTTGCGAGACGCTGGTACTTTAATCCAACTTCCGAACGTGGTTATTATCGCAAATCTGTCTATGATGGACGAGGTTCATGTTCATCTGTGTAATTGAAGAAGTATACGTGCAAGACAAACATACACTATACGGAGAAAGACCTTCAGAATGTTAATAGAGAGAGGTGACAACTACAGGGATATGTTCTTCTTTTTTTATAGGATGAGGGTGACAAATGAGCACACAGTCCACCTGATGGTAAGTGGTTGCTGCGGCCCATAGACATCTACATCTATCCTCGATTACGAATCCAAATGCAGATGCGTTGTCACCCGCGAGGACTAAGATGAAATGCCTCGTTTTCAGTAAAAAGGGTCAGTGTTCAGTAACGGTCTTGTAATAAATGGAATGAATCTTCATAAGAGGAACTGTTATATCTTTACTCAACATATAATATTGCGACATTATTATATCAATTCTATATTATTAGATTATAATTAAAGATTTTATTGCGTATTGTATTGCGTCATTGTGGTGCAGATAAACATTATTTATGTGTATGTTACCGTTAAGACATGTAAAATAAAGTGATACACTCATGTTCCTTCCATACGAATCGATTGAAAACATTTTAACTAATTGGTGTGGTCCATTCGACCATTTCAATCAGTCATTTAATTAAAAGGTTGAATTTCTATCGACCATTTAATTAAAAGGTTGAATTTCTATCGACCATTTAATTAAAAGGTTGAATTTCGACCGACCATTGAAATAATCCAAATTCGAGGCGATACATGTAAAAAATAAATTGTGTAATTAGTTAAAAATTTCTTATAGTGATTTTAACATTTATACATGTTTTTAGAGCATAGTAATGTAGATGTAGATGTAGTAGATTAATTACATTGTTACCATTTATAAATGTTAATAATCTAACGTCACTGTTTAGCAATTATAGAACGACTTTTTATATTATGTAATTTAAGTAGCCCAATCTGTTCATATAATATTTTTACTAAATTTATTATGTTGATTTCATAGTTTTAACTACAAAAAGATTTATGGCTTTACCCACCATGCAAACCTTATACAATTACTTTATTTTAGGTGGAAGAACTCAAAGCCCGTCTCGACGAAAAGAGCAGAATTGTAGAAAAGAAGACAGCAGCAGCACTGGCTGCCGCTCACGAGCTCGCAGAACTCAGAGATCACTCCGAAATCAAGGACCGAAAGATCAACGTGTTACAAAGAAAGGTAAAAAGAAAATCCAAGATGAGACTGTGTTGCTAGTTTTTATTTTCGTTGTAGGAATTTTATTTATTATGGACAGGGTTAATTGCTACACAATTTTATATAGTTATTACGTAATTAGTATTTAAATTTGATAATTTTAGTTTATTTTATTACTTTCTTTTTAATATAGATCGACATCATTCATTAATCTATTAAATTACTCGTTTATTTAAGCATAAGGTTCTTACTAAGAGTTACAGTAATAATGGTGAGATATAGATAATATAAATAATATAACATAAAATATAAATAATATAGATAATAAAGATATCAAAATAACATTTATATGTAAATATAAATGTTATTTTGAAAGTACAATTCAACAAAGTGGAATACTTATCTTAAGTGAAGAAATTTCTAATGGATCCTATCTAGAGCCTAATGTGCCCATCATTTTTATTGGTGTTCTCAAACTTTTAAATGCCTTTTAAATAACTATTTTGGAAGTTTTAGATGTCAAACGTTTCTCTTGGATAAAATTTTAGCGAATTTCTAAACTAATTTGACTTTATTACATTTTGAATTAATTTTGAACTATTATTTGAATCTGTTATTTTTTTTTTGGATATTTTCTTTGTTAATAAATTTTAATAGTTCATCTTTTAATACCAATTTGAATGTTTATTTAGAAGAATAATAATGGCAACCTTTATTTTATTATTTTTAATGATATTTATCGTTTCTATTATTTGCTATTGATGTTTTGCTAGTGTATCTCATAAAATGTATGTTTATTATTAATATAACTTGATTATTTCGTAACTCTGCTTGATACTGTGAATGTATTCTTTACTTTAAGCTTCCCCTTTTTATCATAATATATAGCCTAATGTCTTATTAGTATTTTCTATAAATCAAGACTGCGTAACTTACTAAATATTTTTTAAAATAAATTATACTAATATTATAAAAGTAATAAATTCTATTAATAAGGCTTATCTTACAATATTTTGTAAGGAATTTATGAAACAAAAATAAATTATATTAAAAATATTTTCTTATTTTAATATACCATATTAAAAAAAACTATAATAAAAATACATACGTGAGTGTCGTGGAACACTCGGTTAAAACGAATTTTTTTTAAATTTTCATATATTATTTATATATTATTATTGATAAACATATTATTGATAAATAAACACAAATAAATTAATTACTGGCGTCTATTAAAATGAAGCGTCTTTTAAAATACTTTCATGGCATGATAAGAAAAAGTGCGAGGGAGATGGATATTATTCGCTTTCTCGCCTTGCCCCCATCCGTCAAATTCGTTCCGTGTGATAAGGAATTTCGTTCCAAAACTAATACTAGTAATTTAACTATCATACAGTCTTACTCCCCGCGTTATGGTGCAAATGGCATAAATATGTAGTCATCTCTCAGAGACTTATATTTAAAATAATCAACAATCTCAATCTTATTTTAAACAATCATTAGATATCCTTTAAATTAATAATAATAGATTTTAACCAATATTCCTAGAAATATACTTAAATAAAACAAAAATTCGTATCTAATTTTAAGTTATTTATCCTCCCATACTTGTTATTTTCTCTGCGGCAATTTTGTTATACAGCTATATTTGTCGAATTGGCTGGAGAAACCGCGCTACCAATTTATGTGATAATATTCGACACTATTGAATATTTCATAACAAGCAAATATTATTAAAAAAAACAAACACTTCTCTACACACCACTAGGTGCAATTACAGTCAGTCAACCACTGGATTTTAATTAAAAAAAAATTGTAGTCGTAGTCGTAGACAGGTTTTTTAGAATGCATTTCAAGCCAGCGTAATATTGTTTCCAGCGAACCTAGTCATGGTACAGTTTTGATAAAACGTAGTCTATGACATTTTGCACTAAATAAAAAAAAGTATACACCGAATGACCAAAGTCCCAGATTGACCAAAGTAGGTACAGATCAAAGTTCCGAAATACATTATGCTTATTCTAGGGCAGCGGGAAAATAATAATAATAAACAATACTACCTTAATTTTAATAACATTATCAACAGCAAGTAAAAAAATATTTCAAAAAGTATTAATTTGTGTCGGAATTGTTATAGTAAATAATTGCAAAATTCTAACAATACTAGTGATAAGACGATGCCAAAATCAATCTTATTTTACTATGACTTGAAACTAGACCACTGAAATTTCAAATGAATTTAAAAATTTTACAATCATGTTTTAAAAGTACATAATGCGATGGCGCGACACAAAATGCGGTGCGACACCTCACGATATTTTATCGCATGTCACCATTATTTGACACCAAGCGGTAACACAATCTTAGCGTTTTCTAGTGCCAGTGCCAGATCTAGCACGTTTTATTTTATTCCATGGCTACTTTTAGAGTTAGTGCTAGTGTAGCACCACGCCGTAAACACAGTGCGATGTTATGTGACTTGGTTATTATTATTAGAAGTTTATTAAGTTGGACCTCTATAATAATTATCAAAAACCAATCCTATGTCATAAACAAATTAATGGGGAGTTTTATATTCTTTAACTATATATTCTGTACAAATATTACAAAATAACCGTTAAATATTTATTTTACTGCGTACTTTAAGCCTTGCTTCAAACTGCGTCAAGCTACTTTAAGTGGTAAGACACATATTTTAAGCGACCTTTAGACGTGCTTAAACAGAGTACATAATTTATAAACAATTTATGTAAAAGAAAATATAACCAACACAGGTACATGCTATAAAGTATCTATCTAAGTTCTCGTCTTGAGCATTCCTTTTTAGAGTATGCTGCATGAATGATCCGTAGTGGTCACTTACTGTACGATTGTAAACTCGTTTGTCAATCTTGCTTTGAAGAATATATTAACGTTTCTATCAGTCACCTATAATTTATATGTATCGGTTAAAACATAGTTAATAATTATGAACATCTTTGAGTCAATTTTGTGCGAGCAGCTATGCAGGTCTAATAAGACCAGTATCACCTTCATATCTTCAATGTGTTGAAGTTGTTTAGTTGCGACATTTTCACCCCTTCTGGCCTAAGTACGTAGTTTCCCAAATGAGGCTTACATTTGCTCATTAAGAGTCCGCAAAAAAGTGCCTTCCCAAAGGCCTAAATAACATAACTAAATTTAGGTAAAAACTCTATTAATATAATATTTTTTGAATTCACACTATGTATCACTAAGTATTTATTTATTACAATTAGTTTTTATAATTGTATTATGTATGTTATATTTTGTTTTGTTTTCCTGTTTAGATCCTGAGTTCGTTTTTACCTCATTGTGTTATAATTTGTGTTAAGTATTCAATGCTAGTTTTTATTTAACAAGGTATGTTTATTTACTGACTTTTTATTTTATTTTTTATTTATTTGGAATCCATGATACGCTTTTTTTAAATTACACCAGTAAAATGTTACAATAATTATAACAATAAAGTAAATACTAACTTTCAGATTGAGAATTTAGAAGACCTTCTCAAAGAAAAAGACAATCAAGTCGATATGGCTAGAGCTAGACTTAATGCAATGCAAGCACATCATTGCTCTTCTGAAGGGGCATTATCATCACTAGAAGAAGTTATTGGTGATAAAGAAAAGCAAATTCAACAATTAAGAGAACAAAGAGATAGGGCTGAACATGAGAAGAATGAAGAAAGAGAACTGCACGAAAGAGAAATAGCAGAATACAAAATGAAATTACACGCGTTAGAAAGTGAGGTAGAGAAACTGGGAGCTAGACTAGAGAGAGCTCAAGCAGAGAAAGATCGCCTTGAAGCAAAACTGGAGAGCTCACAATCTGAGTTAGGGAAGTCCAAAGCTGAACTTGACAAAGCTGCAAGTGAAGTGGGGAGATCGGGTGCAGATTGGGAAGCTGCTAAACAACGCCTAGCGAGACTAGAACTTGAAAATGAAAGACTCAAGCACGAATTAGAACGATCTCAAACTACATTTGGTAGAAGCACGTTGACTACTTCTCAGGAATTGGATAGAATTCAAGAAAAGGCTGATAAATCTGCTGCAGAGTTAAGGAGAACTCAAGCAGAGTTGAGAGTGACGCAAGCAGACGCAGAAAGAGCTAGATCAGAAGCAAGTGCATTGCAAGATAAATTGGAAAAATCGCAAGGTGAAGTCTACCGTCTCAAAGCTAAATTAGAAAATGCACAAACTGAACAAGACAGTCTAAAGGAGGAGTATGACCGGTAAGTTGTTAAAAAATAATTGCACTTTGAAATTAAATCAACAAATTTAAAGGGGCAATTTTTTAATTCTTTGGTATTACTTCTAGTTTTCTGTTATCATCGACTCCAGTCTGTTATATTTAAATATTCTATGATTATCAATAGGTTTACAAAAAGTTTAAAATGTCATACCTATACTGCGTTATAGTAAGGGGCTCAAAAAAAGGTCTTATAAGATTAAAAAAGAAAGACTGGATTTGCGGTGTAAGAATATCCACTATACCATATCGTCATGTGGATGTCGTAAGATGCGACGGAAGGTAATGAAACAGGACATGGACAGCCGCATCTTCCTGAGAACAACTAAAAAAAATTAATAAAGTGCAGTTGCTGACTCACTAACCAGGCGAGGTAACTTCGGCAAATATCAGGTAATTTATGGTGGAGGCCTATGTTCAGCGTTGGACTTTTAACAGGTTATAATGGTAATGGTAAAAAAAAATAGGAAATTAAAATGTGTTTACGTGGTAGAGCCATGCTGCAGCTATATTAGTAGTAGGTATAGTTGTAGCACGAGCGGGTCGGCTCGACCGGGGAAGGACCACGCTCTCACAGAATACCAGCATAAAATAGCAGCTTAACGCTGCTGTGTTTCGTATGGTGAGTGTAGAGAACCGGAGGCCCTTTTTACTGGAAACTTTAGTTCTCACGGGTGACAACGCATCTGCATTTTGATTCGTAATCGAGAATAGATGTAGATGTCTATGGGCCGATGCAACCATTACGTCACCCATATCTAATATAAAAAAAATTAATAAATTATTATTGATATTACTAAAGTAATAAATTATTTTAGCTGTGTGGTTGTTGTGTAAGAATATCCACTATGTCATATCGCTTCGCGTGTATCATAAGAGGCGACAGAGGGAAACTGAAACAGGAGATAGGCAGCAGCATCTTGTTGATAAAAACAAAAAAAAATAAAAAACTGGTGTTGCCAACTAGCTTGCTCAGCTTGAGAACTATGGAAAAAATTTCTTATGGGGCAATCTATCGGGGAGGCTTATGGTCAGTAGGGGACTTGTAGAGGTTGTAATGGTAATAAATTATTTATAATACAACTAAAATTAAAACAATAACATAATATTTTTTTTAAATTTAGAGTACAGTCTTCAGTAAGCCGTTTGCATTCGGAAAGAGACAAGGCCATAGCGGAATTAGAAAAGGCAAGAGAAGAACTGGAAAGAACTCAAGCGACTCTCGGAAAGGCTCAATTGCAGCAGGACAAATTACAAGCTTCACTAGATGCCGCTCACTCTGAAATCGATAAACTACAGGAGAAGTTAGACAAGGCATCGGCTGAAATCCGTAAAGTGAGTAGATGTTTATTTTTGTTGTTGAAGATGCGGACGTAAAAAGTTTTGTATCAAATCTTTTGTTAAAATAATCATTCAAAAAGGAAAACATTGAATATGCAATAGGTGAAACGATAAAAATTAAACTCAATGGTTTTTCGAATCTGTACATATAAATTTTGCATCAAAATGTCAATATACCTAGAGTATTTTCCCACAGCTCCAAGTGGACCGGGAGAAGCAAGCTTACGACTTTGAGTCCATACAGTCACAACTCGATAAGGCTTTGGGTCAGGCCGCGCGGTTGCAAAAGGAAAGAGACACCGCCCAACTGGATGCTGACAGATTCCACGACAAGCATGAAAAAGCGCAGGTAACATGCAATTTTTTTTTTTACTAGACAAAACTCGTTCCTTCATTAAAACATCATGACGATGTTCAAGCCGCTTTCGATCGTGGTGACAAATTCAAAGTAACACGAAAGTTGTTAATAGGAAATATGATATAGCTACAAGTGTAAATACAAATGTAGGGGCGACAGATGAAGTATCTCAACTAACCAGTTTTTATCCTAAATCTCTATGTAAAGCTTAGGCAGTGAGAACCTTCGATCAGATATAGTGCCAAAGATATGTGATAATTATCGAATTTTGTTTTGCCGGAGTCAAATACTAATAATTTGTTTTAACACAAATATTAACTGAACTTTTGGTTTGAATACAGGAACAGAAATTCTGACCACTAATGTATCATCAAAATTTTGACATTACTACTAAATATGAACGATAAACGTAGAAATTATTTGAGGCAAATTATGACAGTAGAATATCATCACATTCTTGTCTTGCTTAATTCGTTGCTCGTAAGCATTCTACTATGGACCTTTTCCATAGCAGAAAGGATCCACATTGCATTTTTATCAGTCAAAAGGCGTGCAGAGAGTGTCAATGTTCTTCGTTCCTTTCTTTAACAAACTTTATGGAACTTAGAAATACTTGAATTGATTTTATACAATAAACTGAGAATAAAGTACTCAAGAAACTTCTACATTTATATGGACGTGACTTTTTCCCCTTTGAAGCAGTCCATTACAAAAAAAGTGTTTTTTTTTCGTAAAGTTTTTGGGTGATTTAGGTAGAGTTTAGATAAAGTTTTTATTACGTACGGTTACGGAAGGGTCTTGCGATCTTGAATGTTGATCTTAAATTTTTTGTCGAGTTTTATTAACCCTTAAAAGCTAGCTTTGTGTTTTTTTTTAATTCCCAGGCATTCAAGGATATTACGGAAACATTTGGTTATTTTATATTTTATGAAAGATTAAAAGATAATGATATTTTCAATACTGTAGTAAAGCAAAGATTAAAACATCTTTCAAATTTAATGGTAATCGAAAATATTTCAATAATTGGATCAATATTTTTATTATTGAAGCCTATCCCGATTTTAATGATTAACCAAAAGAATTTAGGATAAAGGAACCAGTTCCAGTATCAATTCATTCGATCCTTGAATTGACAATCGCATTATCAGACGTCACTCCTAGTCGCACGTCTCACGGGTATTTTACGTATAGCGCAAAAGAGATCCGATATACCGCTATTTGTCGGAGGATGTAAGATATTGATGACATTTCTCATAGTTACTTTAATAGAATAATAATATTCGCTTCTTGCAATAGCTACGGGAAGAATGGGCGTGATGTTATTCTCTTCGCACCATGATAACCTAATTTCAAATCTATTTCTATTTTATATTTGTAATACATATATAAAAAATAATTTTTGTTTGTTCGCATTTTATGCGCCATACTCTTCATCAGATTGCGGTAAAACTTTATCAAATTATTGCTGACATTTCCGCGAAGGCTATAGACATAGTACAATTAACTTACAGTAGGTGGCGTGCGTATCGTACCGACAAATTTATTTGAAAAGAATTATATCACTCTACTACAATAAATATATTATCATTCCTAATTAAACAATGTAAGACTTCCAAATTTGAAACGATATGTCCACAATTATTTCTTCTGCGGCAGCAACACGCCGGTTAACCAGCTAGTCTCTTTTACTATACTTTAGGTCCAAAATGGTGATGATTATCTCTGCGGTATGCTATGCAGACTTTGTTGTCGTTTGTTTTTTGGTTTGATTTCCCTTTTTAACCCGAGACCCTTTTTACTGGAAACGAGGCATTCCATCTTAATTCTCACTGGTGACAACGCATATGTATTTTGATTCGTAATCGAGGATAGATCTGACGTGTAAATCCAATACACTGTAACTCGAGTTACAGTGTTTTGCCTTAATAGCGCTCATTTGATTATTTAGAAGTAGTTACATATCCCTATATTAAAATTTTTACATTTTATAGTATGTAGAAGGAGATATGGGCACATACAAAACACTGTATTTTAGTTACATTTATAGTTTATTATGGCATAACACTGTGATTGAAGTTACAATATTTTGGCTGAATAAGTTTACGTGAAATTAGTTAAAACTCAGAGATACAGTGTTTTGGATAACCAAACAAACTGGAGACGTCGCGCGCGTCGACATCGACATGTGTCTACACGTAGTAGGTGTACTATGCGCGGGGGGGTGGAGGGCGAGAGTGCAACGGTTAGTGGTCGTTAGTCATTGTTTTTGCTTGGACGCGCGGACGGTGTTTAAATCGACAGCGCGTACGTTGCGTTTTGTTTACGTTTGTTTTGATAAGTTTGTTTTACTGTGTAAGAACAATAATAATGAATGGACACCGTAATAGACTATCAGTAAAATTGTCACAAAGCAATATACAACATCACAACAACTCATTATGTATCACAATGGCTTCAGAGCTTAACAATGTGTTAGATGAAATAGAGAATATCAATGGCAGTAATAAGGAACGTCCTGGTATCAATCCATCATACGATTGTGATAACATTGAAGTTGATTGTTCCACGTATATATTTAATTCACGTAATATAAGTCCCTTGATACCCCTTAGTGAATCTCAGATAAATAAACGTATTGTTGACAATCTCGGCGACGACGTCAACTACGCTGAGTTGTTACCAGTACCAGCTTCTAGTTCCATTCAAGAGTTATATGAGGAATTAAGTAGCCAAACCTGCCAAGGGAGTTCATCATTGCTAGAGGAAAATTCTAATAATGGACCAATAATTAATATGGACACGGTTTCCTCTGCTACTTCTAACGCAGAGTTCCCCGACATGTCAAGTGCTGTACTGCCATCTGAAACGCCAGAAAAATCTAATTCTCTACCTGCCAAAAGAAGTCGAGATCCTAAAGTTATTTTGGCAAATCAAAGAAAAAAGCATCCCATGAGACCTCCTTGCCGAAACTGCAAAAAAAATTGTTCCGTTAAAATCTCGGAAACGGACAGAGAGATCATTCACAATCAGTTCTGGAGTATGGATAGACAGAGACGACGGGATTTCTTGTCAAGGCAGGTGCACAAAATGCCCACGGCAAGTAAAACTGCTGGCCCGAAATCAAGGAGATACAATACATTAACGTGGTCTCTTAATGAGTTCAAAATTTGCAAAACATTTTTTTTAAATACCTTAGGATTTAGCAACGATGAAGCAGTCCAGGCTGTTCTAAAGCAAAACCACTTGACTCAAAATAAAAATCCGAAAATTAGTGCTCCTCCTGACCCTAGAGGTCATCACACACCTTATAATGCTTACCCTATGGAGTACGAAGACGAAATGAAAAATTTTATATTAAAATATAAACCTATGCCATCACACTATAACATAAATCATGCGCCAAACAGAAGATATCTTCCAGTAGGTGTGAATTTTACAGCAATTTACAAAGAATTTCAACTATACTGCAGCAGCTTACAGAAAAATTTAAAAGTTTGTAGTTGGGCACATTTTCACCATATGATAAAACATCTTAATCTTTCTACAGCAGAACCAGCTCAAGATATTTGTACAAAATGTAGAAATCATGAGTTAAAACATAAAATATTACCTCTACCGTGTAATTGTAATGACTGTATAGACTTAGGCAAACATCTTGAAAACAAAAGAGATTCAAGAAGAGATTTGAAATCAATATCAGAAAGGTGTGAAAATTCTGAAGGGCGAGACATGCTTTATACTGTAGATATGCAAAAAGCTATTTGTATGCCTCTGTTGACTACAAAAGAATACTTTTTCTCAAGAAAACTTGTACTTTTCAACGAATCTTTTGTGCCCCCAGGAAAAAACAAACAAGCTGTCTGTGCAGTTTGGCATGAGGGAGAAAGTGGTTGAAAAGCTCATAATATTGCTTCTACATACACTCATTTTCTCAGAAAATATTGCAGAGACCTAAAGTCTATAACATTTTTTTAGATAACTGTAATGCGCAAAACAAAAACAAGATACTTTTGTCTGCTTTGATAAGAGTAATTAATGATAAAATGACAAATTTAGACAAAATTACTCTGGAATACTTTGAGCCAGGACACACTTTTATGGCCGCTGATACTGTACATGCTGCAATTACAAAGAAATTGAAATCTAAGGGTCAAGTCTACGATATAGATGATTTTATATTCAATATCAAAAGTTCACGAAAAAACATGCAAGTCGATTTATTAAGTCACAAACAAATGATCATATTCAGTAATGATTCCAAAGCAGCATTCCCCAAAGGGTATAATATACATAACCTGAAAGTCATAGAATTCAGAAGAAATGAATTAACAATATTTGTCAAGAATGATTATAACGCAGATTTTAATGAGATATCTTTTTTGAAAAAGAAAATAGAACTTGAATTGTCGAAAAAAATTAGAAAGGGTGTAACTGATCTTTTGGAAGGGATACCTAAAGAGACTGAACCTAGAGGTATTAGCGAGACAAAAAAAAGAGAATTATTAGCACTGTGCAAATCAATGCCTCAAACAAGGACATTTTTTTATGAAAATCTTGTTGTCTCGGAATCACCCGATCTTGACGTACACATTGACACAGATTTAATATAGTAAGTAAACCTAAGACCTCAAAGTAATTCAAAGACTGATTATATCAATAAAACATGGATCTCATCATTAAATTGTTCCATATTTTATATGCGTTGTTAGTTTTATAATGACTTTATTAACTTTAAGTTTATTTTTGTTTGCTTCAGTTGTTTTAATTAAGATTTGATTCGAAGAGATAATGATGATAAAGATGAATGAGTTGACCTTTTATTAATTTCGTATTTTTGTTTTATTTCATTAAATATTTGCTTAATATTTTAATCTTTCGTGTTATTGTGACTTGATTGATATTTTTAAATTGTTTCATTGATTAATTTTAATTATAGTTATTTGATTTAAAAAGATTTCATTACTTGAGCATTTAATTTTTATTGTTTTTATTTTAATAATTTTTTTTTTGTAAATTGAGTTTTATTGTCTTTGACCTAAACAAAATTGAACATGCAAAATACACAATGTTATTGCAAACTGTAGTTAGTATTGTTAATGTTCTTTCGGAAGCCTTATTATAGCCTGTTATTGTTAAAGTAATACACTGTATTTGAAAATACAGTATTTTTGTATGATCCATTAGCTGTGTTCTCATAAAACCAATACACTGTAACAAATTATACAGTGTTTTGCTCAAACAATCTGGAACATTTCTTTAAGTTTTATAGAAATAATACACGTTTACTTAGTTAATTCTAACTGTATGGATTGAATTGTTGTAAAATGTACATGGCTAGATAAAACGTAAAAATACCTTTAATTTAGTACCTATTATATAATATAATGTTATTATAATATTACTAAAACATACCAAAAACCAAAAAAAGTTTTAAAAGCCCTTTTCACGAAATGGGTATTTCCGAGATACAGTGTTTTGGATTCACACGTCAGAGATGTAGATGCCTATGGGCCACAGCAACCACTTACCATCAGGTGGACTGTGTGCTCGTTTGTCACCGTAATTCTATAGAAAAAAATATGTCGTTGTTGCGTTACAATAAAAAAATAATGAATGACTAAAATGACTTTACCGCGATCAATATCGACAACGAGTATAAAAGTCTTGTTCAAGAAATTAAACATTAGCTGTCAAATTCCAGACTACTCTGCATGTTTTTATATTTAACATTTACTAGATTGCATACTTTCCACGTGACTTCTTTCGTGAAACCTATTCTACTTTTACAGGACTATAATTTTATAATAAATGGGAGACCATTGCGTTAAAATATTAATGTTACTCCTTGGCATCTATTTTAATCCGTGGCGTAGGTGTCGAAAATTATAAAAATCTGCGATTGCCAACCTGCATACCAACCGTGGCAACGAGCAAAGAGAAGGCTTATGTTCAACGGTGGACTTTTATAGGCTGTAGTGGATAATAGAAGCATCAAAAAAATGTGACACAACAAAACTTATCATCCATTTTTTCACACCAAGTACAAACTGTTTTTTTATTTATTTGCTCTAATATTTCGTTCAATTTATTGGATATAAAAGTCCGATGTTGCTGTGTAATAATATTTTATGATACGTTCGTAATGACTAACACCCCATAATGTTTTATAAAGCCCAGACAATTCGTCGCCACACTAAAATAGATAAAATTTTCTCAAATATAAGTGTCCTCGTTAAACTTCCTTTACATCACGTCCTTGTACTGTTGCCAAGAAAGTTAACTAAACCGATTACTTGAACATTGACATCAAATTCAAAATATACCGCTCGTAAAAGATAGCGATAAGAAAATGGTGATACAAAATAACGGTTTAAAAAAATAATTATGATTTTGTTCATAGCGTTATTTCTTTACACTTTAAAATTTTAGTTTTCAGGGTATTTTTTTTAAAATAAAGTGACAAACACACTTACAGTCCACCTGCTACTTTCAGATTTTATATACGTGGTAGAACCATGCTGCAGCTATATTAATAGTATATTGTTTTATACAGAATACCAGCGTAAAATAGCAGCTTAACACTACTGTGTTTCGTATGGTGAGTGTAGAGAACCGGAGACCCTTTTTACCTGAAATGAGGCATTTCATCTTAGGCCTAAGGGGTGACAAGGCATCATCTGCATTTTGATCCTTAATCGAGGATGACTTTAGATGTCTACGAACCACAGCGTCCACTTACCATCAGGTGGACTGTGTGCTCGTTTGTCACCCTTATTCTATAAAAAAGCGGCAGTAAGCTCATTGCTGTGTTTCGATTTGAATGATAAAGTCAAGGTATTATTTTATTTTGTTGCATTCGGAAACATACAGCGATACGTTAATTAATTACTGAAACATTTCAGAAAGTGTGCACAAGAATTACATGGCCTTAATACCTCCCTGTGCATTCCATAATCAGACAACCAGACGCTTGGCTAGTCTCCACTACTTTGTTGTCAAAAATAAGCCACACATTTGAACCAAACTGTTTCCTTAGTCGTTCATAACACATACAGCAAAGGAGTGAAATAATTTGGCGCATCACCGCTTACCATCAAGTGGTTTATTAGTCAAACACTGAAATTTAATACTTAAACAAACTTTGAGAGAGGTCTAAGTTTAGCAGTGAACATATTAAGGGCTGTAATTGATGGACTGATGAACAACACGGCACTTAATATGAGTGATGATTCATTATTGTTATTCATTGATGTTATTTTATAAATTCTGCAAAAATGTATATTATTAAATTATTTGCATATAATAGGGTACGCCCTACACTTCGCTGACCGGTACGGAGCTACTTATCGAAATTTCCTTCAACTTTCTTACCCATTGGTTGTCGATTCTTCGTCGGTTAATTTTATATTGCACATAGTTTATTACTATTTTAGCTTATTGCTGTTTAATAATTTAACTTTAAGTTTTAAATTAATTCATGTCACGGGAAGGTGGACGATATTATAATTTTAAGCAAACAGCAAAATGTTTAAACTGTACATTTCTGTTAAAATTCTGTTGTATGGATATTTTCAAAAGTTCATATTATAGAATACTCGTATATGTAACAAAATGGCAAGGCTTGTCACAATCGCTCCATTGCAGTAATACAAATGTTCTTAACCTAATGCTGTTGTGTATGAGTTTATATTGATAGATTATGTTATTTATTTGTGACTAAATTGTATGCTCGCGATTTTAGACTTTTGCAAATGACAGTAACTCATATAAACCCTTTTCAGGCACTAGTAGCTCGTATACAAAAAGAAAGAGATGCCGCATTAGCGGAAGCAGCCAGTTGTCGTGAAAGAGCTGAAGCGGCAGCGGCAGCCGCTAACAGGGCCGCTAGAGATCGCGATAGCGCGGCAACGGAATTAGATGTTTTGCGGGAACGATGGGAGAAGGCACATCAGCAGCATCAAAAACTGACGGTGAGTAATATTGCAGTTTGTTAAGGAATTCCAAAGAAAGGCGAGCAAGACGAGTATTAAAAATGTAAGCCCGCCGACCTTTACTGAATTGCATGACAAACTACAAGCTACACATAAGTCAAATGGTAGAATTGCTAGCATTTGAAATACGGTTTTATGTGCAATTCGAACTCGAATTGGTGCTCCAATGGAATTGCAAAATTTTAAGTGTCGATGTACCATGTGTTCGAATATGACAGAACACTATTACTTCTAGCCGAGGCGATAATGCTCACATACACTGGAGTAGAGTGGCAGACGCATTGCTTCGTAACCCTGTCCAATATGAGAGGAGACCTTTTCCAGATGTGTCATATATTAGAAGCTGTAATTTTATCCTCTTTAAATCTTAAATGCGTATAAAGTGTTACGTGTTCTTTTGTATCCGTTTTTTTCATCTGTTGTTATCAACTTATTACCCTAATATTTAATTATTTCTTATTTTTTTTACTAATTACATCCGTCCATGCCTTTGCATTATTTTAAACAAAAAAATACTTTTTTAACAAATTATTATGTACGTGGTTATATAAATATTTGAATTAAATTTATTGTAGTTTCGTAATGTTATCCATTATAATCAACGTAAAGAGTCTATAAAAGAAAGTTGAAGTTTAGGATTTATTTTTTCAACTAACTCTTAATAAAATCATCTGGACGATTTATTTATAAAATTATCATCAAGTTTCAAGGGATCGATTGAAATATTTGAATGATCGATTTTTATTAATAACGATGTACTTTTCATTTATCTTTTTATGTGATCACTTTTCATGAAATTCTTTTTAATATATTTGTTAAATCAGGAAGGTGTAAGACTTTAATATTACTTTTAGATGAAGAGAGACACTCTTAAATATGTTTCATACAAAAAATTACATTATTTCAGATGGAACGAGACGATGCTCTCACGGAACTTGAAATTTTGAAGGAAAAACTTGACAAAGCCTTATACTCCACACAAAAAACTATAGAAGAGAAAGAGACTGCGCACAAAGAATATGAAAAAATGCTTGAAAAGTATGATAGGTACGTAGTCATGGTAATAGTTTATTCATCTTGCCTATGTTCATAATATTATTCTGTATTTTTTAAAGTTGTTTGTAAAGTGATTGTCTAAGTATTTTTTCTTTTTTCCAGGTCTCAAAATGAAATTTACAGATTGCAGAACAAAATAGACATTCTAGAGGCTGACAAAGATCGTCTTGAACTTGAATTGGAGAAACAAGTGCATTTAGCAACAAAGTCAAGGGAGGAACAAAGAAAATTACAAGATGAATTAGCTAGAGTACAGGAAATGTATGACAGAGCCTCTTTACAACTTGGTAGGACTAAGGAATTAGAAGAAAAGGCTAAAGAAGATATGGACAGAATGAGTGTCGATATTGAGATGGTACGAGAACGATATGAAAAGGGTCAAATTGAATTACGCAGACTTCAGGCAGAAAAAGATAAGTTAATAGCGGATAATGAAAGACTTCAATTTGAATACGATCGTGCAATGACACAGTGTGGTAAAGCACAAGCATCAAATGAAAAAACTCAAGAAGAAATGGCAAGAGTGCAAATAGAACTAGAAAAGATGTACGATAAACACGATAAAGTCTCTGCAGAGTTGAGAAGAGTACAGGCTGAATTGGACAAAGTAAAACAAGATGCTAGTGGCGCAAGGGAGGAAGCGGAAAGATATGCATCTCGCTACGGCAAGTATCACGACAGCAAAGAAGAGCATGAAAGGACAAAGTTGGAGGTGGAACGTCTGCGCACGCGGTTAGAGAAGACTACACTAGAATTGGAGCGGGCACGCAAAGCTGAGGAAGAGGTGACCCGTCTGCGCTCGGAGCTCGAACGCGTCGAAGGCCTTCGAGGTAAATACCAATTCGAACAGGATAAATGGAGTAACGAAATAAATCGAATGCAGGCTGAACTTGACAAGCACCGTGAACGGTACGAGGCATCGCAAGCAGAAATACAACGACTTCAAGCCGAAAAGGAGCAAGCAGAGACGAAGTTACATGAATCTAATATACAATTAGAACTCTCTAAGAGTGAGGTAGCAAAACTTAGCGCGGCATTAGAAAAGCAAAGATTGGATCTCGAACGTGCTCATATTGAGTGCGAGAAATTTAGAGACCGATGCGAAAAATTAAAACTACGTTCAGATCAATTAGATAAAGATAACGAGAGGCTCAAAGGTGAATTACAACAAATAGAAAGGATGAAGTTACAGGCAGTTGCTGGGGACAAGGCAAGGACAGAAGATAGACTTGAAATTGAACGTCTTAGAGAAAAATTAGAAAAAGCCATTCAAGCAAGAGATGCTACGGAGATGGAGGCTGGTCGCCTAGCAAAGGAACTCGAAAAATCTCAGATGCATCTTGCGAAATATCAGGAAACGAATGAAACGACACGAGTTGAATATGACAGAATGACTAATGAATTAGGTCGAATGCATGAAAGACTTGAGCGTACTATTCTCGAAATGCGACAGATTGAACAAGAGAGAGATGCACTTAGAGTGGAGATACAAAACACAAGGCGTAATATAGAACAACAGCAGAGAACTTTAGACCACCGAACGCAAGAAACTTTAGTAAAACTACAGCAAGAGCTAGCGCAATCTGTGAGAGACCGAGAAAAGATGGCGTCTATACTAGAGCAAAGAGATAAGCAGGCAGATGCAATAGAAAAACAAATAGTCAAACTAGAAGCAGACACGAAGCAACTGACCATCGAACGAGATCAATTGGTGGCGCAGCTAGAGAAATCTCAAGATATGTTAGTAAATTTCCAACGAGAGCTTAATGCATCAGAAGCTGAACTTCAAAAGCAGCGTGAAGAAGTTCGTAGATTGAAGGAAGAACAGAGAAAGGTTGTTCAGGATTCGGAACGTGGTACGAAAACCGTCCTTGAGAGTCGCGATAGAGAAATCGCGAAACTGCAACAACAAATGCAAGCAGTTAACAAAGAAAAGGAGTCGTTCAGGCAAAGAGCTGAAAAAGCAGAAAAAGAAGCACAGAAAGTGGGCGAGATTGAGAAATGGCGAGCAGCTGTCGAAGCTGAAAAGTCTAAAGCGATCGCAGCGGAAAAAGCATACTCGGAATGCCACCAGCGGTTACAGTCTTTGGAGAAACAGTTCCAGGCGCAACAACAGCAACTACAGCAGCTTCAAGCGCGGGGACCATCAGACGTACGTGAAGTTCAGAAGCAGCTTGAAGCAGCGCAAGCAGAGGCGCGCTCACTTGCTGTGGAGAGGGAGCGATGCCAGTCTCAGCTGGAGATGCTTGTTCAAGAATTGGAGAAGAGCCAGGTCAGTTGGAGGATCGCCCGGCGACGAGTGGCTGTCGGGACGGCATTGCGTGGTTGAATCGAGCTTGATAAGCGTAATGTTCATGATAAGTTCTATTGGCAAAAATAATTTAAAGAAGCAAACTCGATTGAACTGCTGCCAACGTACGTTGTCTGCTTAAATCATTGCACCGGTGTTATCGAGTAGATTTTGATTTCGATGTTCATACATTTTTTGTTTGGGATCATCATCGCCGGTTGTCATGTACATTGTTGTTGTATAGTAGCATGCCACCCACAGCCCGCTGGGCATCCTCCAACCCCTCATTATAATTATTCGTATTTATTTTATTAGTTTCATCATCGCAATGTATTGGACATCCAATATCATAATAATGTGATATGTTCAAAAGACGTTACTGCACTTGACATTTCACACCACAATGCACAAATCCAACCCTATTAATTGGTGTTGAGTAAAATGTTCGGTGCATTGCAAAGGGCTTGATTTTTCTACTTATATTAATTTGTAATGTCTCTTTCAGCCGAACATGCTATGTTTTATCTGTGTATATGCGATATTGTTCAACGTGCGAATTAAAGTATTTAAAAAGAGAGATTATTTTTGTCATTGAATTTGTTGCTGCGCAAATATAGTTTGCTGAGTTACATGTATATAAAGTTATGCTTACTGTGCTATTCAATTAAGAATAGGACTGACCTGGTGCCATACTGTGACGTCGTAGCTGTCAATTTAAATCAATTAGGTAGGGTGAGCAGAACAGATATTTTTGAAATAATATTTATTAATAAACAAATACAAAAGAAACATAAAAAGTAGTTTTAATAGGAATGTAGCACTTCAATAATTTAATTAAGTTAATACATTACTTTTTATTATTTATTTAATTAATTTAATTTATTAATATACTTTTTGGCGAAATGTTGCCAGCAATGAAAATAGAAAAAAGTTTTAAATTATTTTTAAAACTAATTATGGCTCCGTTAAATTAATATAACAGTGGAAAATTAATTTTCTTTGCAAGTCGTACTTTTCAAGTGACAGTTGACAGATAGTGGTCATTCGAGGTCAATGAAGTTCCAATTCTTATTTGAATCACATTGTACATTAAGCTTGAAGATTTTAAATTTAAAAGTTGTATATGCAAATATCTTGAGGCTTTTAAATTAAATGATATGTTTGCTATTCAAAACAAACCATTTCAGATTCGAGCAATGCATTCACATATCCGGTTACGTATTTAATATGCTTCATGAAAATATCTTTCAAAACTTGCTTTGATTATTAACTAATTATACTAGGTGAATGCTTGTCTCTAAGCTCAATGAAAACATTACTTAATACTTCACGGTTATTAATTTTTTTTTCGGTAACAGCTCGATCTCCGCGAAGCGAACAAGAAATTACAAACGGTTGGCGCTCAGAACGCCAAAGCTGGGGAAGATTCAGCGCAAGCTAGAAAGCAACTACAGGAAGAAATGAAGAAGTTGGAAGATATGAAGAAACAGTTTGACGAACAAAGAAGAGCATTAGAGAATAAGAGGAAAGACGTGGAAGAGAAGGAGAAGTCGCTGACGGAATTAGATCGTCAGTTGAAGAAGAGAAAAGAACAAATGGACCAAATGGAAGCATCTTTGAGGAAGGTAATATCGAATTTCATTCATATATAAAATTTATTATGTTTATTTATAATATAAAATCAGTCCTTTAAATATCATCAATCTACCATCTTTATGCTTGATTCAATTAGCAAATTTGACCAAAGTCAGTATATTAAAGTAAAATATATTTAAAAGGCGGGCGGAAGCGCAGCTGCAGTGACAGAAATAAACCGCAAGTTGACGGATACACAAAAGGAAGCAGACCAACTCAAACAACAACTGAAACAAAGCGAGGAAGAATCAAAACGCTTAACTGCAGAAACCGAGAGGCTTCTACAGCTGGTACAAATGTCGCAGGAAGAACAGGCGCAGAAGGAGAAGCAAATAATGGATCTGCAACAGTGAGTTATACTATTAATACTATTAAAACAAAATAATCATAGTTATATATAGACATGGCACATTAAAATTGCCCTTAATGTTAATTAATTATATTATATATATTAATACGTAAAATATAAACTAGGTCATAATAATATAAAAGTTAGCTTCTCAATTAAGTTGAAATAAAGATTAATAAATTATGATTGTTATATTCCAGATCAATAAGAAACCTTCAAGCCAAATTAAAAAGTCAGCAGCAAGCACAAGCACAAAAAGAAGAGGTATTTATTCACTTTTAATATACTAATCTTACTGCACTTATAAAAAAGTAAACTAATAGACTAACAATGTTCTTAATGATGTTAATAACAATTATAAATAGACTTACAACATATTAACATCATAAGATTAAACTTAATATAAAACTTACCGTATTTTATCATGTTTGTTATGACATGTGATAAATTCTCACATTTTTCAACCTAGATGCTATTAACTACCTTAGTTATTTCAGTCCAGCTACGAGAGTGACACTGAAAGTTTTTAGAAAATCAAAAACTGAACAAACTAGCAAGTTATTAGTTTTATATCTTTTCAAAATAGTGTCCATTTACATCAATACATCGCATCCGATGGAACCACTGAGAAAAACACTTTGCCCACTCGTCCTTAGGGGTCTCTTTGACGGCATTTTGAAATGCAGCCACTGCTTTCTCGGCGTCCATAAAACGCTTTCCTCGAAGTTTTTCTTTTATTTTCGGATATAAATAAAAATTGCAAAGTGCGAGATCGCGGCTATACTTAGTAATTCCACACATACAGTTGTAAACAGTGGCACGAGATGTGGCTTCATCGTGAAAGGTCAATTGAAGTCTATCATAACTTTTTTGTTGACTTAAATAACATCGAAAGTCATATAAAATCATTGTACGAAAATTTTCTCGCGTTAAATTCATGCTGACGTGAACAGAAAATTTTCAATTTGCCGTCAAATCATAACAAATGACAAATTAATAAATTACATACACAATAATATTGGCAAAGAGTTCCATTTTAAAGATTTGAACTTATTTTTTTATTATATCCTTTACAAGTGGCCAGTTCTAAAAACTTTCAGTGTCTCTCTCGTAGTTAAAAATCAGAAATCAAATTTAGAAGCAAACAGAACAAATAAATTTACTTATAGTATTAGAATTTTTATTAGCCCATAACACTATAATGTCTATAACAATATAAGAAAAATTATTGATCTTTTTGCTTCATAATTATAGTTTATTATTTTTAATATTAATTAATCAACTAACAAATTTCTTTTTTCATGCTGCAGGCCGGACCCGCAGGCTTCCTCAAAAGCTTTTTCTAAGTTAATCCTTCACATCGAGACTGTTGTGTTTTTGTTCTCTTTTTAATTGTTAATTTTCTTTTCTTTCACTGCCGCATTTAATTCGTTGAGCGTCGGCTTCATCTCTCCACGTCTTTCAGTCCTAACATCATGATTAAGCTTTACAATCGCAATTCGTATTAAGTAATGTTATTGATTATACATCAAAGTGTTCAGATAATAATAGAACTTTCATCTCTTGTTGATAAAACGGAAACCATGTATACAGGTTTCGAGCCTTCAGTACGATCATTTGTAACCAGCACACAGTTAATATAATTGTTAGTTTAGCCATAATTTCTAAGTAATGTTTAATTAATAATAACAATTGAATAATCGTGTTCAGCGGGAATTATTTTTAAAGTATTAATAAAAATATAACAATATTGTAAAACTGTTAAGTACTCATGTATCTAGATAGAACAAGTAAGTTGTCCATTAGTAGATGTTAATCAGCTTTCAATCTTGTTATGCGAAATATCAATTGACTATACATAAAAAGAAATCTTTGTTGACCTCTTTTAAATAATTTTTGTGTCAATATTGTTAAATACGTTTTGTTATTGAAGTAAAAGTAATAATTCTTTTTTATTTATTTACGTTTTGTTTTTTTTTTCTTTCATCTATCACCTCCTAAATTAGGATCTATTACGATCGAAACAAAGCGAGCAAGCAGCTTATTTTAAATTAAAGAATGCCATGAAAGAAAGAGACAACTTCAAATCTAAATTAGAAGAGAGCAGAACGAAGATAATTGATTTGGAAATAGAATTAAATGAATCGTCTCTTATATTGTCCGAAGTGCTGAAAATATCAGACGGGCAAATGTGCAATATTAAGAAAAGCAGAAGTTTCTTTGAGTTGCAGAATAGTGGTAAGGTAGTGGATAGGCTTGACAGATGTAAATTTAGTCAGAGTGCAAATGATTTAAATATCGTACATAGGATAGAAAAGGCATCACCACCAAGTGTGCACAAACTAACGCAAAAAATTTCGGAGTTATCTAGAGAAATGGAAATAAAAAATTCGAAAATTATTGAACAGCAAAGATGCATTTCTATTTTAGAAGAAGCTTTAAGGGAAAACAATAATATCGCCGAATTTGAACAGCTTCTGGCAGTTGTGCGGAGCAAAGATGAAAGAATTAATGAATTAGAACAAATGGTTAATAAAAAAGCTAAATCAGTATCCACAGATTACAAAGACAGTAGAATATTAGAGCTAGAAGATGCACTAAAGGAATCTTTTATGATAGCGGCAGAGAGAGAAAAAGTGTTTTACGAAGAGGAACAGAGAAGAATCGAAACATTACACATGGTAAGTCATAATGACTTCTTATATTTACGCAAACACTACACATTGAATAAAACTACTTTTACGGATTTATCGCGTTTAATTCTACTTATTTTTAAGAATCCACTAACGTCGTAAGAGGCAAGAAGACAAAGGGAATGGAAACAGGAGATGAGCAGCAGCATCTTTTTGATACAGCTCAATTAATAAAAAAAAATACGGTTGCGAACCCACCGACTAAGCATGGCAACTATGAGAAATATTCTCCCTATGAGGCAATCGAAGGGAGAAGCCTTTGTTTAGCAATCTACTGAATAAATTAATGAATGAGTCCTTGTAGGTATATAAAATTTTATTTGTCTAATATTTATGTTTTATTAAGAACAGCTAAGACGTTAATCAAAACATATCATAAAAAATTAACATAAGGACACACAAATATTTATATTTTGCCAATATTGCAAGGACCAAAATATTTTGATTTTTTTCCTTATTTTAGATATTAAATCGGTTTGTGATATTTATTTGATTGACATAAATGGTTTTAATTAAGAAATATAAATGAATAAGATTAACATTATAAAGGAGAATATTCTTGTCGAAAAAAAGATTTTTATTTAGTTACAAATTGGTGTTAACCTGATTTCAGATGAGAAAAATGGAGCAGCGTATAAAATCTCTGCAAAATGCCTCAGCGCTTAATTGCGAAACGTGCTCATCAGTGCTAAAGCGCTTAAAGCAGTTGGAAGATGCTCTACAGTGTTGCCGGACTGAAAAAGAAGCAATACTACGGCGTTCATCACGTGTGATGTAAGACTTTTTTCTGTTTCAATCGTTTTTAAAACATTATGGTTATTATATTACATTAATTTAATTTAACATTTCAGTCAAGACATATTAGAAGGTGTGATAAGCGAGAAGGATTCCAGGATAGCAGAGCTCGAGATGAAGGGGGTTTTGAACGAGAACGAGACAATAGCTTGCGACGCACTGAAGAGCGAGCGAGATAGATTGCTGCATAGGCTTAAAATGGAGGTACTCTTTTACTCAAGTAATTGTAGCATTAAATTTCATTTTTCGGAGACAGTATCACTACTTTAAAAAAGAAAAAGATAAAGTTTTTTTTAACAGAATACTGACATTGGCAATGCCGAGAAATAATTTCAGCCACACAATAACTATTGTTAAACGTAGGCCTCAATGAAAAGTAACTAGCAAAATTCGCCGAAATCTCCAAGCATGACAAATCAATTAAGCAGCAGTTTTCCGTTTTAATGGTCTAGATCTGACGAATGCAAGATATTTCTGAGATTTCCTGCGGTTGACTTCTAGAACAGTTACAGAATGAAAAGGGGTGATTATCTTAGGCCGGCCACATACATGCAGAATTCCTTTTCTGGATTCCGTTTCTAAATGTCAAACGGGTCGGCTACATACATTCGGGATCCCGATTTGGCCGCAAAATTTCGAACGAAAAACTACTATACGTGTGTGACGGGTCCTTGATTTTATATGGACTTGCTGCGTTCGGAATCCCGAATCGGAACTCCGAAACGGAATCCCGAACTGGAATTCCGTATGTTTGTTACCGGCCTTACATTGCCACCGCAAGAGTCTGTATATAGTTTTATTTATTCCTCTACATCAAGCTTTGTCCACGCCTACTGAACACTACAAAAATTATGTATCTTTTATGTGTCTTGAAGTGTTGACATTCTCGTGACGAAATGGAGTGATAAACTATTCTAAACGTCAATGGTCGTTATTTTTATTTTACACCTTATAATTTTGAAACGCTTTTATTTAACATGTAATGTTTGTATGTTTGTTAGGGTCTAATCTTCCAATTGGATTTTAAAGCAGTTATCTTCAAACGATTAAGCTGAAATTACGCATTCATTTTTAGTTTGGATGAAAATACATGGTTAGCTAAGTGACGTCATTCTAAATCCAATATGGCGGACCGCTCAACATGGTGGACTAGTTATTTTTTATATACTCCCATGATATAGTATAGGTATCATATGAAAGAACTTGCTGAAAATAATACGAAAAATAAAATGAAGTCACTCTAAATCTACTATGGCGGACTATTTATTTTTTATGCACTCCCATGATATGGGTATCAAATGTATATTCTTCTTTTTAGAGCATTTAAATAAAAGCTAGTTATTGTTAATAATGTGTTTTTTACTATTAATTTAATATGTAATCTTTTTAAATTTTGATGGTATACCAACAAACTCATTTTACAGAACGAATGGATAATCGACTCTCAGCGGGAAGCACCAGAAACGCCTACGCAACAAGATGGCGCGTCGCTGCCGGTAGATCTCACACTGGCCGACGGCCTTATTGGTGTCTGCGAAGACAATGCAATTGTCTGGGTATCGTAATCGGAAGGCATATTGAGAATGCGGGTGATTTTTTTTGTGCTGTCATTCAAAACAATTGATCTAAAGAACCTTATTCACTCATCTGTTTTATGCACCAAGATTTTATTTGATTTGACTTTATGATTACCACAAATGTTACAATAACATTTTCTTTAGGTGCTTTTTATAAAATACTGTTCCTGTCTTACCGTACTTAGATAACGTGATCATTTAATTTTACATTGACACATTTTAACTTGCCTTTTTCTTCAGCTTTTGTAAAAAAAAATATATATTTAGTCTCATGATTTTCTTTACATGATGCGTGTGTTAAACAACATTTGTGATTCGCTTATGTTTTGAATCACTCCATTTAAAAAAAATATTTTCTTATTTGCAAATTCCATGGTAATTGTATATTTGCTCAACGCAACACTTAAAAAGCACATGCATACACACACACACACACACACACACACGCGCGCGCGCGCGCACATACAAGTGCGCGCGTACACTTACACACATTATTTACAGTGCCATGTGAGTATTTATGATACTACTATCGTGTACTAACTTTCATATTTATTTCATAATTAATTTAATATTAAAACGTTAATGACAAAGAAAAAACTGCGTAATTAATAACAACAACTATAACAGAAATATTTTAACATCAAAATTCCTTGCAAAAAGCAGCTTACCATACAAGTTCCACAAATATTTGTGAATACATAACATTTTGCAAAGACTATAAACATAATGGACGATTATGGCTGTTATAATACTTTATTTTTATGTGAAAGGTTAAATGAATGTTAGTATTATTAATAGTAATACTTCAAATATTTCAATGCTAACGCATTAATATACTTCATTCCATGTCGTGAAGATATCCATGGGCTGTCAAGGTGAAACAAACAGATAAATATTTGCAGTGTGATAGATATTTGCAGTGTGTGTGAGACCATCAAATAACCCCGATTGGCGCCAAAATCATAACAAATACGACACTAAGAATAAGCTATAAAACTATCTACTGCTGGGCGTAATCCACCTGTCAGCGCTTGAGAAAAATAATAATCAAATTAATTCTTCTTACTATCACTAATACACACCATTTATTTGCCTATAATTTTAAAGTAGAGCATCTTTCGTGTTTTCTCGGTAATTGTGAGCATATTATGCTGGATTTAATATATTTCCATACCATTATATGACGACGTAGCTATAACTTATAGTATATTAGTATAATATACAATATGTAAAAACATCTTGTCCAACCTGAAAGGTGCTACATTAGGCATAGCAATGATT